AACTAGTTGATCTGGCAACTGAAAGACAGTAACAACCTTGATAATCAAATAATTTTTCAAGTTAAAAAGTGCCAAACAAAATCCCTGGTTCCAACTTCTAAAATGTGAATATTTGGAGGTTTTCTTAGTAAATTGAACTTTGGATTTTGGACCACTGATCGGGCAAAACTAGTTATTTGAGCTGAGCTCACCATCCTTCACTCTGGGAAACTGTGATCAGTATATTTCCCAAATTTCTGACATTTTAGAGAGCAAGCGACTAATTCTTATATAATCATTAGTTGCAGCCCTAGTTAAATTAACGACCGATAAAGCCCTGGTTATTATAATGATGAGACCTGCCTCGTGTGTCAACATTAATCCATTTTTGATGATAGGATAGTATAGTCACAATGTGAATAAAGTAAAATGTCCCAAGATTATCGGTCACACCAAATCTTCCTCCAAAACAGTAGAAATAAGAACTTATACTGTGCACACTGCGCTCTCAGACAATCACACTGTAAATGATCAAATAAAGCCTAATCAGATCAGAGTTTACAAGGTGAAATGAAAGTGGCTTAATTTAACCGAGTATATATGGCGCGCAAATTGTAATATCTGTTAATTAAAAGTTCATTGTCACCATCATTCACACGTCTCTCTCAAGGCCAAAAATTGAATACTGGTGAATCCATTGCTATAGGTATATCCTCTTCAATTAAACAATATCGCTTACAGCGTACAGTATTTTCTCTAAGGCCCCAGAGATACCGCACTCAAAGCTAACTGAGGCCTTTATCATTGAAATCCATCTGAAGAGCCGAGGAACCTTGAGCTGGAAGTGGAGAGTGCCCGTTTACAAGCACTCGGCACCCATGTGTTTGCTTTTCGCCACTATCACTTCAAAGTCTCATTCAATTCCGATTCCCAAATGGCTCTCGGTTCTTTGATCTCGCTGCCGAGAGATGAGCAGATACTCAAAGCCGAACAATCCTGTTTGCAATTTCAAGGCAATACTCCGACGCAAAAGAATCTCAAATATTTTTTTTAGCATAGGGGGCAATCACTGCCCTGGTATGATATATCTTATCAATTAATGCTGATAAATAAAACCAAGACAAATTATAGAAAATGTTGAAAAAATTGTAAACTTAATTGGTATACATGCCACAAATACTTATATTGCTGGAATCCATCGTCTATGTATTGCTCAGCTCAAAATAATATTCTCAACAATAGAAATATGAAACTCAATGAAGTCTCCGGTGATTTCTCCATCACAGTCTAGACAAATATAGTCGACCGGTATATTATATTTCAGCAGAGGACCTTACATGTGCTGTTAGACAGGATTACAGCTTTAATTGGGCATTTTAGACCAGAAATCTTTGTCCGAATTTAAAATCCAATTATCTGAGTTTTGAGACTAAAACCGAACATTTAGAGGAAGTTGATCAATCAGTTGATCAATGTAATGCAACTATTTTTAACTATGACAACTGGTTAAGCACAGTTTGTTCAAGTTTTTCTCTTTTTATTTATGTTTTATTAACTGAATATCTTATTTTAGACTGTTGGTAAGCCAAAAAAGCAATTTGAAGACGTCACCTCCACAGAAATTATAATGTTTTGCTATTTTCTGACATTTTATCGACAAAACAAAATCGATTAATGGAGAAAATAATTGTATTGTAAATGATGTTTGAACCAAAGTGTTAAATCTTTGCACTCTCCGAACCTTGCAGTAAAACAATGATACATCGGACGTGAGAAGTCTAGCCCACTCCCAATCTGAACGTATTAGGTCCTCACAGGTTTGGACTGCAAATGTCAAGCTCCATCTGGGGGTTTAAGTTGAAAGGTCAAAATTAAATCCTCCCTAGCCAGAGATTTTTAATCTTATCATGCTTGGTGAGAAGTAAATGTGTTATTAGGCACGGAATAGAAGTAAAAGGGTCAAAGTTTACTACAGCTGCTGGGTGTTGTCAACAGATCAGTCTGTAACAAAAAAAAAGGGCAGTTTGAAGTGTTCTACTAAAATGCTCTAATATTAAAATAAATGTTGATGATAGTTGATTATTGTCAGCTACATTAGTATTAGTAGAGAGGTTTGAAAAAAGTATAAAAAAGTTATACACAAGGCTTAAACACCTTTTAAAGGGCTTTTTTAAAAGAGGAATAAAATACAAGTAAACAAAACAAAGAGAACGGATGTGTAACTGTATTTAACCAGTCGTATAAAAAAAAGAACACCACCAGCGATGCAGGAATGCCGGGCTTGTCTCCAGTGCACCGCTGCTCTCGTGTCTCTGTTTTCTCTCTACCTCGCTTAACCATCCATTTTAACCATCAATGACCTCAAAGCGTTGAGGTTTGGGCTGTAGAAATGAGTGGTCTTTCCCAAGTGTACAGTTAGTCGCTGTGCTGCTGGTAACACATCACCTCTCCAACCCACTCCTCCTCCCCCTCCTCCTCTGTGGTGCATCACCCCAGTCACTCGCTTTCAGTCTCTCCTTCTTTCTCCTTCACTCCCTGGCTTAATATTGATCTGAATTCATTTGTTCCCTATTGATCTGCCACTCCACCCTCTGCCGCATTGAACAAACACAAGGACACACACCATGCGCACACAAGCCTCATACACGCACCCCGAACAAATGCAGCACATGCACGTCACACACACATATACACACAAAAAAAAGGCTCATAACACTAATTTACAAATCTGTTATATGTAAACTGATTTCAAGGTTAATATACACACAGACACACACACACACACACACACTGCAGACAGACACACTTGCAATCACACACTCTTCATCTGAGAAATTTCAGAGGCTGAAAACATGAAGGTTTGGAGAGGTCTCCATTCAAGCATCAGACAAGCTAATGACATACAAAGGAACCTAGATTCCATATTGATCCAACACCTCAGGAGTGAGATGAAAACACAGGCATTCTGGGGCTGGCACCACCAGGCGACACAATTACAGCTGCAGTTCATTTCTCAGGTTTGCTGAATTGGACTCGGAGCCATTAGTACAACAAATAAGAGGAACTGAGTTTGGTAGCAATTGTTCTGGGATGTATGTGAGCCAAGGTGTCATTTGTGGCAGTAAATGTGTATTTCTTGAAACCTCTTCATAGTCTTCAGAATAAAATTAGCAAATTAAGTCAATCAAGTTTAAGGCTACTCTACATTCGTTGATGGGCTTTCCAAAACTGCATCATAAGAAGTACAGAATAACGTTATAATGGGATATACTATATTTTACATGAATAAAATTTAATATATTAATATGTGTTGAATATATTGAAAAGATGGAGCTGGCGTATTTCCATACTTTTATCATTGTGGATAAATCCCTAAATAAAACCAAACATCAACACGTGTTAGCGGGCGTTCAGACCGAAAGTAGCCCTTGCCTTTAAGCAGCACAGTGGGCTGCGTTGGTCGGGATGTGTTGCTTCAGGTACCACTGAGCCACAAAAGTCCAGTTTGAGTAACAGATTCATTACTTTGAAGGCTCATCAGACGCCAAAACACTATACATCGGTAGACAGAATATTGCGTTCACATTACAAAGGGATGTGTGTGATTGGCATTTTTCAGGATGATGTCGCTTTGTCTGTAACAAGTTTGGCCAGATTCAACTTTTTTCCCAGACCCAATGTTTTTTTTTTTGTCCTGGCCCCCTTTGTGGCCACCACTGCTGCAAGAAGAATAATGCTGTGGATTTTTTTTACACAACTCATCTCTCTCTCAATACTTTCAGACTTCCCTACCCTGTATGGCCCGAAGCGTATTGGCTCCTTCTAAAGGTGTAAAACTTTAAAAGTGGGTCACAGACATATACATAGATTTGTTTTTTTTTAAGTATTAAAAAAACTACAGTTGTCACAGTCAACATGTCACCCAGTGCAACAGTTTGGCTCTTTGATCTGTGTCTATTCATAGTTGTTTGTTTTTTTGTCTACTCATGGGATTTTTTTAAACAAACAAAACAGAAGAAAGAACAAAAATAAAGAATATCAGCAGCTTTATCCTTTAAGACTCAATGTTTCAGTTCAGTTCAGTCAGAGTGGATGGCTCTGTCTTCAGAAGCTGTGACAGGTTGACCAACTTTTCCTGCGGGCCCCCACCAGCCACTCCAAATTTTTGGTTGGTGGCATCAAGTTGCCATGACACCAGACTGTTTTTCCTGCCCTCTGACCTCCTTTCAGGACATGCTGTGCTCAGTCAGACTGCATCTCCAGCAGCGACTTGAGTTCAAAGGGCCGAGGGGGAAAGAGGCAAGGGGGGAGAGGCTGTGTTTCCTCTTGGTAATATTAGATAAGATGCACCACAGGCAATACTTGCTGTCCCTAAGTGCATGCAGATAGGAACACACAGACCTATACATACATGTGGGAATTAATGAGCGCACAACAACACAAAAGCCGCACATCTCCGTCTCTGTTGTCTTTCATTGTGTTGCAGTGTCATAATTATTGCATTTGTTTGGCTCACTGCTGTTTAATTTATGATGTTAGATTGTATTTTTCAGCGTTATTAATGTATTATTCATCGCCATTGACTTTAACCGTCTTCGCTGTACATGTATTTTTGTACCACCCTGTCATTCATGCTTTGTTGATGGCGCAGTATTCATTATCACCATTATCTCCCACTTTGTTAATCCATTTCATACTCTGCACACAATGTTTGATGCTTCCTCCGTCATAAATGCTTGTGTTTCTATTCAGTTCTTTGTGCCGCCATGTGCTTCATCTCTAATCAGGGATTGGTCCATTATGATTTAATTATCTCGTAGTATTCTTTTACGATTGAGTTCAGGACGGTTTTAGCTGAAAATGGCTGATGTGGCCTGGATAAAAGCCCAGATAAGGTTGTGTCTGGGTGGCTGGCTTTATTTATTTACTTATCCCAACTTCATGGCTCAATGTGTTTATTGATGTTCCCCTTCCTATCCTGTGGTATGCTAATAGTCTGCACGATGCTCTGCTGATTTCAGGAATGCCGTGGTCAACCAGTGAAGCTCCCCAGTGAGAAGAGAGCCATGGGAAAAACCTCAATCTAGATCCCGGTTGTGAGGTAAAGGCTTTGGCAACATCTGTTTCTTCCCGTTTATACCAACAAAGACTCTTTGAATCTGACTGAAATGAAAGAGAGAGCAAACAGCTTGAGAGATCAGAGCTAGTGATGGAGAACGTCAGCTCCAAGTATACAGAGAGACACTAACCATGTCTCTCAGCTTTCTTCTCTGACAGTCTCTTTCTGTCCCCTCCTGTTTCTTTTAGTTTTACTCTCATTATAAAACACAAAGTTGTTCTCACAATTGTTATATTGCCACCACTATAAACACTAGACTACCTCCCAACTGTTTGTTATCACACAATCAAACCTGTTGAAAGAAGACTAAATCAGAGAGCCATCATGTATGTTATTCAACATAATTGCATATGGGACTTCACATAACTGCTTGCATGATTATGCTCCCTCTCTCTTTTTTTCTTCCTATTTGACAAACACGTAGAGTGATGAAAATTATTATAGTAAGTCAGCCAACAAAAGCTGGCTCCCATCATTTGTCACCCACAGAGTCAAACCAGCAAAAAGAAAACCAATTCAAAATGGTACATATCATTAAAAGTAATTACATATTGTACGCATATAAAAGCCGTCATTATGGAATAAGAACATTGAATTGTTAGTGTACATTTTTTTAAGCTTGGACGTGCAGTGGGTGCACACACAACACACACACTCAAATATACACACACTTTCTCCTCTCCTACTCAGAGACACATATATACAGGACATGCACACACACACACACACACACACACACACACACATACACACACATGCTGGCCGACACTACCCAATAGCCATTGACAACAGTGCCCTAGCAACCATTGGGCATCATGCCAAGCCACTGAGGTTGCCTGGTAGTGTGTTCCCATGGTAACATTTTCTGCCTTTGTAAATAAGGTACGAGGAGAGCGAAAAAGGGGGGTTTGGGAGAAATTGCACTACAGAATCTCATTCTATCTTGAGAGAGCTAATAATTTATGGTTTGTGAGGAGCAGATACTATCCTGGCCCTGCACCAAGCAGCCATCTGACTGAAGAGGTGCATTAACATCAATGGGGATCTCAGGTCCGAGTCCTCGCCGCACAGGGTCAGATCCAGTTTAGAGGGGGACGAGAGAGAAGCATGTAATCTTAGGCTTATTCCCCCGTCTCTAAAGGACTTCTTTCATATAAATAGAAATGGGAAAGTAATGATCACACTCTGCTGTAGGCTCTGGTCTTGTTGAATGTGATTTTTGGACGTGTTTATTATTTATTTGTGTATTTGTTTGTCTTTCCATTCGTTTTTTCTCATCACATACCATAGTAAGCTTGTTTCGCGTCACCCGATTTTGTAGAATTCTATTTATTAAGAAACAGCAATGCACAACATTAGTGTGTGCCCTTCTGTAAAATCAAGTGAACCATCAGTGGTCCTTGGCCCTGAGTTTGAGAACCGCTGTCTGCATTCCTGTTGAGCTGGCTCTTGCCAGACGATTCATGGCTGCGGGTAACCGTTTATTTGCTGTCACTGGGCAGATTTCGCTCCTCCATGCCCTCTACATTGTTTGGGTGGTGCCATAGTCTTTGTGCGTCACTTCTCAAAGACGATGAGTGGTGGAGAGTCACCTGAAATCTTTGTTTTATCTTTGACAACAGAGCCTGAATGTTTTTTTGTGTGTATTTTTGTAAAGAAAAGGTTTTTGTTTAATTAACAGTAATGTCTTGTTGCGAGGCAGTGTCCTTGATTTTTTCTCTCATTAATTATCTCTCCAGTACCCAATCAGTTATCAGTTTGGTTTTTCATGTTTCTCTTTTAAAATACCAAGAGCTCTTTGCCAATTGATGGCTTTCCTCTCTGACTGGCCACTGTAGTTGAGACATTTCATGGTTTTAATAATCATAATAATGATTTTTGAAGATTGAATAAATAAATTGTTTCAATGTCACCAATTCTCAAAATCTTGTGATTGAATATGTCAAACATCCAAGTTCTACAAAATGTCCACACAGTTTATATTTAGTTTATGTGAATATAGGCAACACAATTTCAAATGTTCACTTGTAGATCCACAACTAGTTGTTTTCCAGACTGATAATCTAAAGTATGCCAGTTGTAAGATATAAATTGAGACAATCTGTTCATTTTCAAAAAGAAATTATCCATATTCTTTAATGAATATGTAAAATATAAATAATGTCTTAAGCTTAAAGTCTTAAGCCTCCTTATCAAAGAACTAAATAACCTGAACATTTGTAGAGCTTTTGTAGTCGTCTCAGTGGATAAGCCTCAGCTGCCAGTTTTCAAACGAAACCTAAATTCTATAGATATTCTTTCAAAATAAGAGTAATTATTTTAGCAGTAATGACTGCCAAACAATGTTATCAGTCAGTATTGTCTGAGCTGTTGTTAGGCAAGATTACCACATGATGATCATGTGCATGATTATCCATGTACTGTACCAAGAGTTATTATTGGATGCGATAACAACAATTTAGATTAAATTAACAAACTAAATTACTGCTAAATTTAATTTGAGAGGTTTGTTTAAACATTATCACAAGCATGATGCAAAAATTGTCTGTAATTAGCTTTTTGGGGTAACTGGCCACTTGTAAGTTACAAACAACTGAGCACTTTTGGTTGACTTCATAAAAATACATACATTAGTTTAGTTTAGCTTAACATCGTATGTTTTTTCAGTATTCAGTTGCAACACTAACTCTTCTTCTCATGGTCATCTTGGAATTTGTCAGTTAGTTTATATAATCAAAAACTTCGGGCACTATTACAATGCTGTCAGAAGTAATTGTCACTGGATAAATATCTTTGGGACTGTTGTAATACTCTGGTAGCACAATTTAGCAAAAGATTTTAAATTCTTTAATATTTTGGTGATGTTAGGCGTATCTAGATATATACTTTGGCTCAATATGATTAATTTGTTTTCACTCTCTCAAGAGGCCGAGCTGTAATCCCCACAAAGCTTCACCTGACCCGACACCAGCCGGGGTTCGGGCTTATACACCACCCTGGCCTCCAATGTAGGGGCTTCCCACCAGACTCATATTGGCACACAAACACACCCAGGCAGATTGGCAAAGAGCTGGCATTGGCACAACCATGCCGCATTCATGCGTGATCCGACTGCGAATGAGACGGTGAGAGAGGTTTAAAAAGGGGAGGAGCAGAATCAAGGGGATCAAGGGGGGAGACTTAGTTAGTATGAACAGAGAGATTGTCTGAGAAAAAAAAGAAAAGAGAAAAAAAAGTTGTAAAAGATTTTAAGGCCTGAAATGTTCAGTGATGAAGGACAAGTAAGAGGCACGCAGAGAGGCGGGAGGACGGCCAAAGAAAGAAAATGAAGGGTAGGCGGAGGGTGAGCTTTTAGCATGGCAGAGGGCAGTTGAGAGAGGCGAGGTGAATGGGTCTGCATTTGGAAGCTGGCCAGTTAAAAACAACAATCAGTGTCTATTAAGCATATGGAGCTGCAATATCTATTGAAGTTAGCACTTAGCTGGCTTATTTTAGGTTTGATAATTGTTAAATGTTGAATCTTTAGCACAATTACAAGTTGAGACTGATTACGAATGTCTTTTATCCCTTTAATGTGGATATAAGACCCAACACAGCCACGTATCATCTTATACACATATACCTGTGCTGTGCAGTGCATATTAATATGCAGTTATTGTCCTGGCAGGCAATAGACAGAGTTACCTTTTGAGGAATCAGGAATATACCACTTTTGTATTAGAACCAAGCTTTGTCAGTGAGGCCCCAATTGTCCAAGACTTCAAGGTTGTATTTTTGGTGCATTGACCAAGCTGAATAGGAGGCCTACCAACTCAGCTGCACAGCAGCTATCAAGTAATCAATGAGTCCTTGAGGCACACAGGAGGAGTGTCAAAACACAGCCATTGACTGCTAACAACAGCCAATTTGCTGCTTTTGCAGGAGATCACCTCAGCTAGATGTCGAATGTGTGGGTGTGCCCCATTATTTATGGAGTATGAGAGAGATTGACTAGGTGCTGTTGCTCCAAATTGTCATCCAATTACTCACCCATTAGATCCTATTTGTTACATTGGAAACTGCTCTACAATGCAGCAATTTCTGCATTGCCCTGAATGTACCTTATTACACTTTGCGAAACAGCTTATAATGTTTTAATGTGTCAACAAGTCTGACACCATTCCTGAGATTCTGATGAAGGAAAAAGTCAATAAACATCAACTGCACACAATCCAGATAAAATACTACATTTGTCTGTATTTACAGATAAAGTGCAGAAATTGAATCACTCACATTAATTTATTCTTCTATTCATTTATGGACACAACCTTTCTATGGCTAAAAGGATGAATGGTAATTTCTACAGGCCATACTATACTATATATATATGTGCACACACTAGTGTTTCCTTGTCATTATTAATAAATCTGTTCTTTGGGCCGACCAAAAACCCAAACATATTTAGTTTGCTATCATGTAAAATGAAGAAAAGGCAAACCATCTCACTGGAGAATTCGGCCAGCAAATGTTTGAAATTTTGCTTGTAACAATTGATATATGTATATGTATACATAGATACAGTACATATATATATATATATATATAGTCTTGTTAACAGGCCTTTCTGCAGCACTGCTGAACTCTGTAGGGTGCTTCACATCTGTGGCACTGTTTGCCCTTGTTAATATTAAGACCTGAGGGCAGTGACGTGTTGCTCACTACAGCCGCTGTTCTGTTAGGTAACACTTGATGATAATCCACCCCCAGAAGGTCAGTTTTGCCTTTTTCAGTACAGGGTTTTTGAGTGGTTTTTGAAGAATATTTTTACCTTTGTGTGATAGTGACAGCAGAGAGAGACAGAGAGGTAGATAGCATGCAATAAAAAGTGTTTTGGGTTAAGGTCTCAGAATGCTTCAAAGAGACCAGAGACCTGTTTTACAAAAGCGATTTGCAAGCACACAAATCGCAACAAGGCAATTCAAAGTGCTTTACACAGAAATGCA